AAGTACTAAATTAAATGTGCAGTAACCACTGCACATTAATGAACATGTAGATGTGCCCAATGACTGCTTGAAGGGCAGAAAAAAAGGAGGATCAGGCCCATTGTTCTACATTGTCAGGGGCTCCCTTGGAATAGGAATATGGCAGAAATCATTATGAGCCCTTCTATGTGAAAAATAATCTCCAGGAAATCCCTTCCCCACCCCCCCCCCAGGCCAGGCAATCCCTTCAGGGTTAAAGGGAGGAGTGAGAACCAAACCAATACAGGAAACACTGCAAGTATCAAGGTGCTGTGCCCTCAAACCCACTGCAACCACAGCTAGGGTGGGAGGCTAGAGCTGAGAGGAACTACTGCAACACGTGACTTGGAAGAGTAGAAAGCATGTGTAGTGGCTGGTACCACCCAGAGACCAGAGGCAGAAGGATGTCAAGATAAGGTGCAACGAGAACAGATTACCAATTTGGATGTTCGCAGCGGACAACAGTACCACAGGACAAGCAAAATAATATCTCGGCAAACACATTTGCACAGGGGTCTCAAGCCACGGCGGACGATTTGTGAAGTGGGAAGAGCAGAGAATCCATATAACCTGTCCACCTGCAGCTGATGGTGCAGATGCACAGGACAATTCCTCCTACGGTTTCTCCGGAGTAGTTCAGATTTTACTCTGTAATAAATGCAGTAAATTCCTTATTAAGGATCAGGCACACAACCAGCTCTACCATGCTTGTTGCCCACTGAAAAGGCTCTTACAGTGTTTAGTCACACGATAGTCTAGTTTATACTGAGCAAATAGGTATCCTAGTGTAAGGAAGCGACATATAATTTTTCCATGTGATAATTTTCACATGTAGTGAAAGTCCTATGCATTTTTCAAGGAGTAACTACCCTGGATTTGAGTGACCCCTATGTAGTAGGGCTGTCTGTGTGCTGTATGTCCATCTACTTTGACTGTACAGATGCTGTGTGTGATGTCCATCTACTTTGTATAGATGCAGTACAGATGCTGTGTGTTCGTGCTGTTAGGCTGCTTGTGTGGGAGGTAGACCTCCAGCCATTAGCTTCCTGCTCTGTGCAAGGTGATTATACTGTACACATGTAAGAGAGAGTTTTCTCAGTCTGTCTCTGGTTTTTGAGTCCTGCAACCATCTCCACTGCTGTTTACCCATAAAATCAAAGCAAAAAACCTGCAGTGAAACAAATCACAGAAAGAGCCCACGGTGAGGGGAAAGCAAAGTTTTAGCAACCTTCAAACTTTCCACGGGTAGAGTGAAAACGAGCCTGCCACAATGCGAAGGGATGAGAAACGAACAGAATCACTCAAGCAAAGGCCGCCGTGACTGAATAGCACAGCTGGATGGTAGCAAATGCCTCTCCTAACCACCTACGCGTTATCTCAGACTTGAATTCCACGGGCTATTTTTGGTGAGCCAAACACACACAATCGAGAAGCAAAAGCCCCGGGAAATCTAGTGAAACATTTCAGTAGGTAGTCACTACATGGATTTCTGATTTTCTGGTCATTAATACAGGAACTGTAGAGCGACAAATCTATGAACTGTGTTTTCATTTCTCTTTGCAAAAGTAAGTCCGAGCTTGAGGATGTTTTTTTCTACGTCTTGCTTATACTAAGGCAAAATTGAAAAGCTGTCCTGCGGAAAATGGGCTTTCCCTGGTGTCAACCCACAGGAAGCCAGAGAAAAATGGGGAGATTACACTCAGAGACTCACAGTAACTAGAGAGACGTAGTTAATAGCCATGTTAGTCCGAAGTCAGGTAGAAGACAGGGCAGTAGTACCTTAGAGACCAGCTGGTTCAGAGAAGCATAAGCTTTCCCAGGTGACAGCTTACTTCATCAGATGCCCTAACTGTGGTAGGAGACAGTCTCTATTTCCAGCTGAAATAGCTCTGCTGCAGTGGTTTAAACATCTTGATAAGATAATTGCTCCTTCCAAGCAACCATTACAAATACTGTTCTGCCACCTGATTGACTGGGCCTTCTCCTACTCTGGTTTTATCACCCGTGTTGCAGTAAAGCTTGAGGAGCCCAGGCAGGGAGCTCAGCCTGATTGCCAAGTGCCAACAAACAAGCCATCCCTGCACCTGGATCAGCAATTTAATGCTATCTTATCTACCCTAGCCACATCTGGCAAATTTGACCCATCAGACGACGTTCTCTCCATTCACCGATGTTAGCGGGCTTGTGGGGTTTTCCTATGTTTTGCATGCCATAGATCAATAATGTTTTCCTTTACCTATGACTAACCCGCTTCTCTGCTCCCTAAGGTGTGCTATATCTGAGAATGGCTACTCCTCACAATCTCCTCCTCCTCTTTCCACTCCTATTTTTCTATTTCAGAGTGTTTCCTGTTCTCTCAGGTGGTTTTAGTTTCCAAGCATCTTAACAGATCAATAGGCATCCTCTTATGGCTAAAGCAATGCCGAATTTGAGACCTGGCTCTGCCGCTGACCTGCTGCGTGACCTTAGTCAAGTCACTTCAACTTGCAAAGGGCAGAGGTTTGAAATTTGGCATGTGGCTGCATGCCATGGAGCTGGCGGAGCCAGTTTTCCAGCATCGTCCTTCTACCAAGCCAGCAATGTTGGGTGGGAGAAGGCAGTCGTCTCACCTTTGTTCCTGCAGCAACCGCGCAGCATCTGCTGTTTTGCTGGCATGCACGTATGCAGATGCCCAAGCAATGTTTGGCTCGTGACATGTAGCCAGTAAAAGAAATCAATGTCAGCCATTTTTTATAGTCCTGCACCAAGGGTAGAAGTATATCCATCAGGTTAGCGAGTTGATTTGAAACCCACGCTGTGTACGTATGCCTGTTTGTGAGACTTTTAATACAATGGGAGACACGCTGGGACATTTTGGAACAGGCGCATGTATGGACCCCGCAGTCACGTCACTTTACACCCCCGCTGTCAAACAGGGGTCGTGATGCTGACATCCTTTGAGATCCGATGCCAGGTACAAGAGCCAGGTGAAGACAGATAACATTCAGATCCGGGGGCAGAGTTATAGCGCTTGAGAAGACGAGTGACTGCCAATATCTGCCTGTGAAGAACATGATTACCTGCCCCAGGCCCACAAGATCAATATTAAACAGCTTGAGGAGAAAGGCAGGTCAGGAACGACCATGAATAGGAAACAGAAGCAGAGGGGTTATCCTCCCAAGCGGAGGGAAGTCACAGCTCCTCCCTGTGCTGTCAACCACAGTCCCCATCACCGTGACCTCCTTCAAAACAGCGCTCAGTTTGCAAACTGAGAGAAGAGGATGGCCTCATCCTCTTCTCTCCCGCTCTCCTCACGGGGCTCCTGGCTGAGGGGAAAGTGCTGCCTGTGGGACCGGTGTCATCCATCTTGCCCCTCTGTGGGGCAGGGGCACCCACCCCACCAGACGGGCACAGAAAAGTGATATTTTATGTAAAACAGAGAAAATATTCTCAAATAAATGTGGGGCGGGAGCGAAATGTGGGGTGGGAGCAAGCATGTATGTTTGTGGGGGAAGAGGGAGGGCTCCTTCTGATTTTTGAAGCTTTCCTCATGCCCCAAATTTATATGAGAGGGTCGACATCCAGCCTTAAATCCACAGGCAAAATCCTCCTACCCACGCCCCTCTACCCCATATTGCTTCTGGGAAGGCATCGGCATCCCCTGCCCCCTCCTCCCTCACAGCCACCTCAGGGTGAGGAGCTGTCCCGCCATCTTTCCCCTCATGTCTACTGTCTGCAGCCCCTCAGTCCCCCTCGAAACTCCCCGTCGCTCTGCGTCTCTCCCCCGGCTTCAGCCACCTGGAAGTCTGCCTCATGCCTCCCTCATTCTCCACACGCCCTTTCTCATGGGGCCTCCATGTTTCCTCACAGTCCCTGTGGCCCGCTCCACCTGGGCCCTGAGCCTGCCGACTGCTTGGGCTACGAGCGTGCGACTCTCCAGTGTATCTGCCCAGGAGCCAGGTTAAAAAAAACCCTACCAAATCACCCCAAAACCCCCCACCAGATTTGGTAGCACCCCTTGGGATTTGTGCCGCTGGAAAAAGGAACCGGGCCAAATACCCAAAGGAGCCGTGAGGTGATGAGCACTGATGCATGCATTTTAATTTGGTTTGGATTTGGATTAGTTTTAGTTTTGATTTCAGGTTTAAATGCATACATTATTCGCAATATAATGAAGAGGGTGACTGTTTTTTAATCGATCTATTCATTTAGTCAGGAAATTCATATTTAACATGGTGTTATATCAATACGATCAATACTTTGTGATACATCTTTAGAATACACAACCATAAATGCATTGCTCTAATATAACTATTCTCCAGCTATTTGGGTTGGTCAAATAAAAGATATCAAATTCACCCAAGGAACCTTGTCTGCCTTGCTCTAATATAATACGTTAATGGATGTGTAGTATGAGATGAAGTAAGACTCGGATGCGCAAAAATAGGCTATGCCCTCGATCCTATTTAGGTGCCTAAATCTCATTGATTTGAACCTCGATGGATCTGGTTATTAAGTTGTTAAAAGGGCCCAAATATTGAATTGTTCCCTTACAACATCAAGCAAGAGACATTGTGGAATAAGCCTGATGTTGTAGGTGGTTTTGGCACCCAGTTAAACCACAGAACGACGTCTCTGCGGCTGACAACAAATCCAAGCTAGCCAAAGGAAAAATAATTGTAGTAGGAAAAGAACATTTTGCACAAAAAAAGGAGGGGAAAAGGCTATATAGCTGCACAAGTTATATATTATGCATCTATGTACAGTTACAGAGGACAGGACAAATCCTCCTCGTATTTCAAGAGCATTTTGCAGATAGGAAAATGTATATAGTAATCCATCATATGTTATAGGATACTGCAGCGACGAGCAACAGAATAGACCCTGTGATAGATCCCGCCATCAGAGTGACAAACTCAGACCTCATATTTGAAAAGAAAAACATACAGCCAGTGTTAAAACTGTATAAAATGACATTTTATTTGTTAAATTATAAAGGGCATGTTATTTGTAGCACTACAGTGTACAGATTTCTAGACCAACTGTTGTAGCCAGGCTGCAAAATACCTCCGTGTTGCACCGTGGTGCGTAAGCAACACAGCACATCCTCCTTAACACTTCAGATTTAAACATTCAATCATGTGCAACGAGTATTATTGCAGAAGTACAACCACGTTTAGTCTTTTCACACCTTTTCATAGTTTTCAATGCAATTTTTTCCTAGTTTTCAATGCAACTTTCAGTTATTCCCTCCCTTTTGTTCATCAATATAATACAGTTTTAGTTAAATAAATAATTTTTTATACAATGCATCAAACAAGAACATTTCTCTGACTCCGTTCTCTAATAAAGTTATGCATTTCAGATAACAGCCAACAAACTACACATTAAATTACTGTAAGATTAGATGGGCAAAGTCTGAGCACAGCTCCCCTTGATTTCAGTAGGTGACGAATCAGGTCTTATATTTTCAGGATGGTGGTATTTATACAGTCCATGTTTACCGCTTTCCACCCCAGAGGAGACACTTTGGAATTGGACCAGCAACCCAAGTATAATACAGAGATTAATCCCATATAGTCTTTACTCAGTGAAAGCTCTCATGCCCTGTCCTACAACCCTTGCTTGAACAAGCCTACAGACTTCCCCAAAACTACTTCCATGACTATATACTACGCAAGCAAATACCCAGAAAATCTCTCAAACAATTGGGATCCCTGGATAAAGGTGCTATGTAAATGTCCTTATACCCTGGAGTTCCCTGAGTCAAGCCCATGGGACTAAGGGTCCGGAGTAGAAAATTTCAGCGGGGACTTTCCTATATATTTTCCACATCCAAAATGCTACGGGGCCTGGTTGCAAAGTCCCTCGCTCTGCACACCTGTTTTATAGCTTTAGTGATGCTATTCTACCATTCTCCCTGGCTGTGGTAGCTCCAGGACACCGAGTGCATGCTCCACATAACAAAGGAGACAACTTGGATTTTTTCATGGGACTGGAAAAGGCATAAATGTGCCTGATTCCTGTCCTCTGCCTCTTCACTCTTCTTCCTAGCATGGAACCAGGAGTCACAGAGGAGGGTCCTTCATGGGGCATGGAGGAAAAGGATAAAAGTAAGAGACATCCTTTTCTGCACAGGAGTAGCGGGAGGACAGTCTAGGCTAGTGGGCGAGGTTCACTGGGCAGATGGCTGCATAGGTTTCAAGAAATCCCTGTCCTGAGAGGTCTGCACTACCCCTCCGCTACAGCCTGCATTTCACCCAGCGTGAGCATGCCTGAGCAAATGCCATGTTATGTTTAAAGGTATGAGAGACTCTGCTGATTGCGTATTATACACGCCTGTGGGTGGAAAAAAGGAATACTTCTGACGAAATACCCAGCTTATATGGCAAACATGCATCATCATCAGCTACCACATAAGGAACGCATTTTGCTGACTGCGTGCTTTACAGAGAAGATGTTCCTAAGCCTCTTAAGGTTTTTCCATTCTCATTTTATATGCAGATGGAGACAAAAATACATCTTGATAAGAGTCCCTTGAGACGTGTAACATTACTTGGGAAGAAACACCAGTATTACTGTCCACTAAGTAAGCTTATATGACATTAATCGAGACATCCACCCTGTCAGACAAATGGTAACACACACGGTGTGGAAAGCTTAAATACATATGATACAGACACGTACAGATCTTCCCCAGTGAAAAGGTGAGAACAAAGTGCGCAGAATAACAGCTCCAAACTTTGTTCCATTTTTCTTCTAAGGGCTTGTTCTGTCCCATTAATAAATAACAAAATATACAAATCTAGAAACGAGAAAACTAAAGATGCAGAGGAATATAAATACTGGAAACCAGGAGAAGCCACTTTGTTCAACAAAGTCGGGTTAGGACTTCCTGTGCAGTGACAACTGCAGATCTGTTCTTCACGGCAGATCTCCTTTCAGTTAAGATTAAACATACCAAAGTATGTGCTTCCATGATTGTAGTTCACGAGAGTTGAATCTGTCACGTTAACGAATACCACGTCACCTTGCCGGAGTTCAAATACACCTCCCACGTGAGTGGACTGGAGGCCACAGTACAAGTCTGATGAGCTGTGTGTATTTAGTCCATTTAACAAGAGCCGATCTGATTCCAAAGGCAGGTGCAAATAAATATACACGATAAATGGTGCCTGAGGTGCTGGCTTGGTGCAGAAGCTGACTTGGGCATAGATGTAATAAAGCCCTGCTTTCTTCACCTTCAGCTTCCCTTCTTTGTAGGATATCAAGTCGTTCGTAGGGGCATACCCAGTTGTCTTCCACTCTAAAACTGCGGAGGGAAAAATATCACCATTGAGCCTGGCAAGTCAGGAATTGCATTAAAAGGAAAAACACTAGTTGGAAGTTTAACCTCAGTGGGATTATTCCCACCCTGTGTCCCTCTCATCCATTTAGATTGTCATTTTATTGAAGCAGAGGTTGTCTGCAGCCCCTCAGTCCCTGCTCTGCAGGGAA